AACAGATGACTAGGAGTTGTCTCCCCATGGCGTAACTCTCACTATGTGGGTGTGCTGTCTACTGGGCTACTATTGCCTCTCCCTCCTTCTCCAACACACACACGCTTTGTGTGAGGCTCCGGCCGGTACGTTGGTCAGTTGAAATTAGAGATGGACAGACAGACAGACGGACAGATGGTTGGGTTGGACGGAAAGAGATATGGATAGATTTCTAGACTGATAGGTGTATGGTTGACACATACGTGTGGATATACAGATGGGGTTTTTTTTTCCGGACATTTTCCCTAAGGTGTCATTTGTAACTTCCGTGGTCACTTGAAATAAACATGGACGGAAGGATTTTCATACAGATGGACGGACCGACATAGAGATGGATTAACATAAACAAGGATGAACGGATGTAATTACAAATGGACGATAGAAATGACAAAAAAAAAAGACAGATGGACTAGCTTTATGGTTGATGCATGTCATACAAATGGATGGACGGTCATACAATGGACAGATATAATGATGGAATGACGGTCATACAATGGACCAACATAATGATGGATGGACGGTCATACGATGGACCAACATAATGATGTATGGACGGCCAAACAATGGACCAACATAATGATGGATGGACGGTCATACAGGGGGCAATCATAATGATGCATGGTAGGTTATAATGTCTTGATTTAGGATCGCGGGCTCAAGTCTGTACGGAAAAGGTGAGAAGATGGACCGTTATACAGATAGTCTACAGATAGTCTACAGATAGTTTACAGATAGTCTACAGATAGTCTACAGATAGTCTACAGATAGTCTACAGACAGTCTACAGACAGTCTACAGACAGTCTACAGATAGTTTACAGATAGTCTACAGATAGTCTACAGATAGTCTACAGATAGTCTACAGACAGTCTACAGACAGTCTACAGACAGTCTACAGATAGTTTACAGATAGTCTACAGATAGTCTACAGATAGTCTACAGATAGTCTACAGATAGTCTACAGACAGTCTACAGACAGTCTACAGACAGTCTACAGATAGTTTACAGATAGTCTACAGATAGTCTACAGACAGTCTACAAATAGTCTACAGACAGTCTACAGATAGTTTACAGATAGTCTACAGATAGTCTACAGATAGTTTACAGATAGTCTACAGACAGTCTACAGATAGTCTACAGATAGTTTACAAATAGTCTACGGATAGCCTACAGATAGTCTACAGATAGTCTACAGATAGTCTACAGACAGTCTACAAATAGTCTACAGACAGTCTACAGATAGTTTACAGATAGTCTACAGATAGTCTACAGATAGTTTACAGATAGTCTACAGACAGTCTACAGATAGTCTACAGATAGTTTACAAATAGTCTACGGATAGCCTACAGATAGTCTACAGATAGTCTACAGATAGTCTACAGACAGTCTACAAATAGTCTACAGACAGTCTACAGATAGTTTACAGATAGTCTACAGATAGTCTACAGATAGTTTACAGATAGTCTACAGATAGTCTACAGATAGTCTACAGATAGTTTACAGATAGTCTACAGACAGTCTACAGATAGTCTACAGATAGTTTACAAATAGTCTACGGATAGCCTACAGATAGTCTACAGATAGTCTACAGATAGTCTACAGATAGTCTACAGATAGTCTACAGACAGTCTACAGACAGTCTACAGACAGTCTACAGATAGTTTACAGATAGTCTACAGATAGTCTACAGATAGTCTACAGATAGTCTACAGACAGTCTACAGACAGTCTACAGACAGTCTACAGATAGTTTACAGATAGTCTACAGATAGTCTACAGATAGTCTACAGATAGTCTACAGATAGTCTACAGACAGTCTAAGACAGTCTACAGACAGTCTACAGATAGTTTACAGATAGTCTACAGATAGTCTACAGACAGTCTACAAATAGTCTACAGACAGTCTACAGATAGTTTACAGATAGTCTACAGATAGTCTACAGATAGTTTACAGATAGTCTACAGACAGTCTACAGATAGTCTACAGATAGTTTACAAATAGTCTACGGATAGCCTACAGATAGTCTACAGATAGTCTACAGATAGTCTACAGACAGTCTACAAATAGTCTACAGACAGTCTACAGATAGTTTACAGATAGTCTACAGATAGTCTACAGATAGTTTACAGATAGTCTACAGACAGTCTACAGATAGTCTACAGATAGTTTACAAATAGTCTACGGATAGCCTACAGATAGTCTACAGATAGTCTACAGATAGTCTACAGACAGTCTACAAATAGTCTACAGACAGTCTACAGATAGTTTACAGATAGTCTACAGATAGTCTACAGATAGTTTACAGATAGTCTACAGATAGTCTACAGATAGTCTACAGATAGTTTACAGATAGTCTACAGACAGTCTACAGATAGTCTACAGATAGTTTACAAATAGTCTACGGATAGCCTACAGATAGTCTACAGATAGTCTACAGATAGTCTACCAAAATGCCAAAATGAAGTCCTTACTAACTACCTAACATTATGATGGATGGAAGGTTGTATGTTGAGTCACATACAGATCAACTAACAAACAGATCGACAAACGCAAAGGCGTACATATACACCGATGGGCGGTTACACATACGTCTTTCACATAACCATTTGAAACTACCTAAACATTGACTGACAAATCAATGAACTAATTGTCTGACGAATTGATTTCATCTTATTATTAATTAATTAATACATCAATTCCTTGATTTTCGACTTTTAATTTTTTACCTACTCTGGTCCAGGAGATGTCAGCACCTACGGCAATTTTTTCGTTGTACCTTTTCCGGAAGTCGTTTCCTCTTTGGGATCTTCCGCCCTATATGTCTTGTACGTCACCAACCCCAACAACGTCACGATTAGCGTCAGGTTTGTCGTGTACGTCAATGGTGTGTCGTCTCCGAGTACAGTCGCCGTGGACAAGATGAATTTTACACGTCTGGAACTTTCGGCTGAGAAATACATGCAGAAAGGTTGGTTCGTGTTTGTGTTGTGTTTAGGTGTGGTTGTTTGTGTTGTGTTTAGGTGTGGTTGGTTGTTGTTTGTGTTGTGTTGAGGTGTGGTGTGGTTGGTTGGTGTTGTGTTGTGTTGTGTTTAGGGAGAGGTTGGTTGTTGTTTGTGTTGTGTTGAGGTGTGGTTGGTTGGTGTTTGTGTTTTATTTAGGTGTAGTTGGTTGCTGTTGGTGTTATGTTTAGGTGTGGTTGGTTGGTGTTTGTGGTGTGTTTAGGTTTGGTTGGTTGAAATTTGTACGTCACCAACCCCAACAACGTCACGATTAGCGTCAGGTTTGTCGTGTACGTCAATGGTGTGTCGTCTCCGAGTACAGTCGCCGTGGACAAGATGAATTTTACACGTCTGGAACTTTCGGCTGAGAAATACATGCAGAAAGGTTGGTTCGTGTTTGTGTTGTGTTTAGGTGTGGTTGTTTGTGTTGTGTTTAGGTGTGGTTGGTTGTTGTTTGTGTTGTGTTGAGGTGTGGTGTGGTTGGTTGGTGTTGTGTTGTGTTGTGTTTAGGGAGAGGTTGGTTGTTGTTTGTGTTGTGTTGAGGTGTGGTTGGTTGGTGTTTGTGTTTTATTTAGGTGTAGTTGGTTGCTGTTGGTGTTATGTTTAGGTGTGGTTGGTTGGTGTTTGTGGTGTGTTTAGGTTTGGTTGGTTGAAATTTGTTTTGTGTTTAGCATTGATTCGCTGTAGTTTGTGTTGTGTTTAAGTAGTGATAGGCTGTAGTTTGTTTTGCGATAACTATCATCGGGTCTCTATCTTGACTACAAATAAGCTACAGTAATAAATTAAAATTTAGAATGAAAAGGTTTAAATGTAGAAGCCTGCATCACCGCTTTTAAATTTAAATCTCAAAATAAGGGTCGTACCATGATGATATGGGACGGCGGGGGCCGAGTGGTAGAACATACTGTTGCTAACCAGAAAGTCTCGTATTCGGATCTTAGACTCAAAGCTGTAGACTTTTCGGCAGTCAAACTAGCAGCTATTGAAAAAAAATGTAAACATTTATATCTACTGTTTCTGTTGTAGAAAGACATACCAGTACTTACACGTGGTCGGGTAGCGCAACTGCTAACTTGAAAGTCTCCAGTTTGGATCTGAGATCAAACTCTACTCTATATAACGTCTCTAAGTCCACCCAGCTCTGATGGGTACCTAACTCATGTTAGGGAAAGTAAAGACGGTTGGACCACTCCATCCCTTTAGACACATGTGTAAAAAATAAAAGAATTTCTTCCTCATCTATCCAATAAACGGTGAGGTACATAAGTGGTACTTTATACTTAACTTATTTACTCACATATTTCAGTACCATCAAATTCCCCATTTTATACAAGCCCTACATATAGTAACGTTTACCTATCTACCAGCCAGATAGATGGTGAACGTCCCCGGATTCTTTTTTTGGGGTTATATGCAAATGACTTACAGCCTAAATGAATGAACACTAACACAACAACACACTAGGGCTCGATTTTGATGTCTAGGGAAAACTAGTGATACTATTGAAGTTAACACTCATCCAATCTGCATACAACCTTTAATAAGCGAACACAGTTGTGGCAGAACACTAGGTTAAACGAGATAAAATATTTAATTTAGAAAATAACAAAACCCAACTTACAAAGCGTAAGAAAAAATACTATCACAGATTTTAACACTGTATAAAAATAGCCACAGGTCACACAACACTGCTATAGCTTCAAAGAATCACTTGGCGACAAGTAATATTATACTAGAAGACTAAAACAACTTAAGAAAGCATAGCACACTCAGGACTTAAGTTCTCTCACGTTCAAATGGTCAGAATCTATTGCCGGACAAAATGGACGGCCTGGTCTTAATAGACCGTTTGATCAAGGTAGACTGCCCCGTGTCGCGTGTGCGCGATCTAGTTAAAGACTTAGGCCACAGGGGAGGTTATCCTCAACTCATGTAGCCATTGGTTGGGGTAGTCATCTGATCCGAATCAATCAATCAGATCTTGATGGAAAATTTCTTAGTCTTAGACACCCTTAATAAGACAGTGGAAAAACCCCGGTAGTTGCACCATCAATCCATATAAGGTATTATACAATGTCAAAATAAAACATTTCTGGACCTAAGTAGGTCACACCCCTCCCTTTTTGGAAGTGACAGATAGGTTCCACAAAAACATACATAAGGAACCAATCTGGCAATGAAATAAAAAAAATGCTTTACAAATGTAGGCAATCAAAACCTTAATACCATATGAAAATATCCCTGAACATAAAAGGGAAGTAACTCAAACTTTTACAATTTGTGAAAGGGGAGTAACCCTTCCAAAAAATAATTATACATCAAAATCCCTCAAAAAGGGGTATTGCAATATTTCCATGAGGATATTAAAAGTGGTAAACCCGCCAGGGTAAGACCTTTATTTCAATGACTAGCTACAATATCAACTGAGCCATGTGAGACATATTATCATAGAAGATTACATATAATCAAAAACCACCTTTAATTAAGGTTCACCTGAAAATAAACAAAATTTGTAACAGGATTGACATTTTGAAAAATTCAAAACTCATACCACTCATTTTCATGTGAGCGTCACCCAAACACAACACCTGTGCATGGTCTCAATGAACCACAAAACACGTCACATGATCAATGTGTGCAACAAGATTTTACATCCTTGACAAACAATCAGCCACAACATTATCACTACCCTTAATGTGTGAAATTTCCAGATTAAAATTTTGGAAATATAAGCACCATCTCAATATTCTTTGATTTGTCTGTCCTAACTTAGAGGTAAATTTCAGGGGATCATGGTCAGAAAACACTCTGGCTGGATTGGTTGAAGAAGAGACATAGACTTCAAAATGTTGTAAGGACAAAACCAAAGCTAAAGCTTCTTTTTCAATAGTAGAGTAATTCTTTTGGTTCTCATTTAACTTCCTGGAAAAAAAAGCAATGGGATGGTCAATCCCCATGTTATCTTCTTGAAATAGGAATGAGCCAATGGCTAAGTTGCTATCATCAATGGCAAGTTTAAAGGGCTTGCTGAAATCTGGTGCAGCCATAACAGGAGCATTAGATAAAAATGACTTAATGGTTAAAAAAGCTTCTTGACATTTATTTGACCATTCAAACTCAACACCCTTTTTCAATAATGCAGTAAGAGGTTCAGCAATAGCTGAAAAGTTTTGACAGAACCGCCTATAGTAACCAGCCATCCCAAGGAACTTTTTGATTTCTTTACAATTTTTGGGAGGTGGCAACTTTACAATAGCATCTACTTTAGCTTCAATGGGCCGAACTTGGTTCGTTCCCACTTGATAACCCAAATAGGTAATTGAACCTTTACAGAAATCACTTTTATGCAAGTTTACAGTAAAATTCACTTCAGACAATTTTCTAAAAAGGTTAGTCAACTGAACAATATGTTCTTCAAAAGTATTGGAAAATACAACTATATCATCTATGTAGGCCTCGCATTGGTCTATGTCAGCAATGACAGAGTTAATGACCCTCTGGAAAGTTTGACCAGCATTTCGCATACCAAAGGGCATACGTTTGTATCTATAAAAACCATTAGGGGTTACAAAAGCAGATATTTCTTTTGCACGGTCAGATAAGGGGATTTGCCAGGATCCTGAAAGTAAATCAATTTTGGAAATTATCTTAGCCTGACCAACTTTATCAATAACGTCTTCTATTCGAGGTAAAGGATAGGAATCAGCTTTGGTGAGCGCATTTACCTTCCTAAAGTCGGTCACAAACCTGAAAGATCCACCGTCTTTCGGGACTAGGAGACATGGGGAACTCCAGTTGCTGAAACTGGGCTCAATGATATCATTCTTGAGCATATAATCAATTTCATCTTTTATCAAAACAGCTTTTTCTGGGTTAACTCTATAGGGGTGTTGTTTGATGGGTTTTGCGTCACCTACGTTTACATCATGAGGTGGAACCTTCGCTTCTTTGGGGACATCCCCAAAGATAGAGGGAAATGTCTCAAATAACTGAGACAATCTATGGCTTTCCTCTGTGGACAAATGCATAAGGTGGACATTCAAATTATCTAAAAAGGAAGAATTTACCAATTTTGGGGGTTTCAATTTATCATGTATCACATCATCAGAAACATTTGAACATACAGGTAAAGTAATTTTAGCTGTGGAATGAAAATTGTTACAATTATCATAATACTTTTTCAGTGAGTTAACAAGATACACTGTCTGTTTCTTTCTTCTGTCGGGCGTATTGACCACATAGTTCAAATCACTTAATTTTGAATGCACAGTAAAGGGTCCACAATATCTCAAGGATAACGCATTGTTCAGATTAGGCACTAGCACAAGAACTTTCTCGCCTGGATTGAATGTTCGTTTACGAGAACTCTTATCATACAGTCCTTTCATTCTCACTTGGGCCTTTCTTAAGTTCTTGTGAGCCATCTCGCACACGGCTTTCAGTCGAACGTGGAAATCGTCAAAGTTTTCCACTGGATGATCACTGGTACCTGTCCACCGTTCGTGTATCAGCTTCAGGGGACCACGGACAGAATGTCCAAACACCAGTTGAAAAGGAGAGTAACCTAAAGCTTCCTGGACACAGTCCCTCGCGGCGAAAATAATCCATGGAACAGTCTCATCCCATTGGGTGTTACTTTTAGCGAATGTTCTTAGCATGGTTTTGAGGGTTTGGTGGAACCTCTCAAGTACGCCTTGAGACTGAGGGTGGTAGGCTGAGCTGGTGATGTGGGTAACGCCTAGCTTGGCTAGCGCTTCCTGAAAATGGTGACTGGTGAAGTTGCTGCCTTGATCTGTTTGAACGATTCTAGGTAATCCAAAGGTAGTGAAGAACCGGGTCATGGCTCTGACTACAGTCTTTGCCTTAATGTTCCGTAAGGGGAACGCCTCGGGAAAACGGGTACTTGAACACATAAAGGTAAGTAGGTACTCGTTGCCCGCCTTGGTTTTAGGCAAGGGACCTACACAGTCCATGACGATTTTAGAAAAGGGTTCTTCTAATACAGGAATCGGACTCAATGGGGCCTTAGGAATTTTCTGGTTTGGCTTTCCGGCCAACTGACAGTTCGTGCAACTTTTGCAGTAACGCGACACATCATTTCTCATTTTGGGCCAAAAGAACAGTTCTTTGATCTTCGCCACTGTTTTAGTGACTCCTGGGTGCGCTGACATTGGATGGTCATGTGCCAGTTTCAGTATTTCATGCCGATAAGGTGGAGGGACCCACAGTTGGTTTTTACCCAACCATGGTTCGGCTGGTGAGGCATTCACTGGTATAGAGCGACGAAAGAAGAGGCCATTCTCGGAGAAATATTCCCCATCGTCAGATGAGAGAGATTTTTCGACCATTGCCTTGAGTTCCGCGTCGACTTGTTGAGCTTTAATGATGTCTTCCTGAGATATCCTCAGGGGTAAGCCCAGGCTTGTTTTTTCTGGAAGCATAGACTCCAGTTTGGGAGTCGAATTTCTTGACGATGATGGTAGGTGTGGTTCAGACGTTGTGTCAGCCAATTGTTTGGTCTGGCTTCTTGTCACCGCACATGCAGGATACAGTTCATTATCATTATCTGGAACTGTTGACAAAGGGTCTGAAACCGTACAGGGGTATACTTTGCTTCCCGCAAGGTCATTCCCTAGAAGTAGGTGTACTCCTGGGACAGGAATACTATCTATCACACCTAAAATGACTTCGCCTTCGACGAGATGATGTTTCAGGGCAAACTTGTGTAGAGGGACGACAGTAGATTTTGTCCCCACTCCCTGGATAATGGAAATCCTTCCGGTGTTCGTCTCAGGTGTAATGTCCATTGAACTTTTCAAAAGAAGTGATTGTGACGCTCCTGTGTCTCTTAGGACGGTGATATTCTTCTGAGACAACGGATGACCTGGTTTGCTAATGATAGCTTTGGCAATGAAAGATGAAAAGTCAACTTTTCTCGATCCCTCGAGATCGGTAGACTCGGAAGAAACTGGATGGTGGCGTGAACAGTCAAAATGTGACTGCACATAATGTGTGGAAACTTGACTACCTTCTTGCGGACACTTAGGGTTAGCGTCCTTTAGAATTCTAGAGTTCATAGTTGAACTGGCTGCTTGAGGGGATAGAGCATAGTGCGCAGAAGTACGCACCACCTCTCTGTTATATTGACGACGTTTGTAACAGTCCTTGACATGGTGACCAGGTCTTTTGCAGAACTGGCATACTGCTCGACGATTGAGAGTTGATCTTGGTTTCTCTTTGGACTGTGATGCCTTCACGTGTTGGCCAACAGGAGGATTGCTGCCAAAAAGGGGAAGCACGGGGTTGAGGCGGTTTCCTGACACTGGTGGTTTCTTATGCACCAACATATATGTGTCAGCCGACTCAGCAGCCTTCTGGATGTCAATTATCTTGTTATCCAGTATGTGAAGTCGTATGTCTTCAGGCAGGGACGTTAGGAATTCTTCCCTTAGGATAAGTGACCTGAGTTTCTCAAACTCAGAAACTTCCTCAGAGTGTAGCCACCTTGAGAATATTTTCTCCTTTTCAAAGAGAAATTCCACATATGATTGAGTGGGTAACTTGCGGAGTGCTCGGAATTTCATCCGATAGGCCTCGGGCGTCAGTTCGTAGGCCTTCAAAATGGCAGTCTTGACCAAACTATAGTTATTTTGAACGTCGTGAGAGAGTGCCTGGTATGTTTTTGCAGCTTTCCCAGTAAGGACCGAGCTCAATAAAGCAGTAATGGAAGTTTCGGGCCATTCACATGTCTTCGCTAAACTCTCAAATGAGTTAAAGAAAACGACCAAATCTGTTTCATCAAATTTAGGAACTAATTTCCCAAATTTGGCAATCACTTGCCCCACCGACAACTTTTTTGGATCTACCAGGGAAGTGACATCACTAACTTTACCAAATTCTACTTCCAACCTCCTCTTATCTAAAGCAAGTTTAGCCTCTAACTCCTGTTCTTTTAAAGCCTTCTCTAAAGCAACTTTCTCCTCACGGAGTAACACTCCAGCCAACAAACTTTCATCAAATACCCCTTCATTAATAAAATGAACAACAATTTTATCTCTCAACACCTCTGACTTCTGCGTAACAGAATAATCCAATTTCAATTCCTTAACAACACTAACCAAAACTTTTCTACTCAACTTCTCGACCTCCTCAACAGTGGGATTAGCTAAAAAAGATTCCATAACACTAACTTCAAAATCACAACAAGCCTAGATTCTCTAAATTAACACGGAGCGTTGGGCCGTGTACTTGACCTCCTATCGTAACACGTCTGGCTTTTGACCTAGATACCTCTAGCCTAGCGCGCGTTGTAATAACACGGCTTCACTGGATAGAAAAACAACTAAATCAAACTAAACTTAGTGTTTAACTGATATAACCAACAACTGGAACGACAGATTAAATCCCGGACGAGCCCCCACTTTGTAACGTTTACCTATCTACCAGCCAGATAGATGGTGAACGTCCCCGGATTCTTTTTTTGGGGTTATATGCAAATGACTTACAGCCTAAATGAATGAACACTAACACAACAACACACTAGGGCTCGATTTTGATGTCTAGGGAAAACTAGTGATACTATTGAAGTTAACACTCATCCAATCTGCATACAACCTTTAATAAGCGAACACAGTTGTGGCAGAACACTAGGTTAAACGAGATAAAATATTTAATTTAGAATAATACACGTGGGATGTTAGATAAAGCAGTCAAATATTTTTTTGAGTTTGGAGGGAGGCATGAACTACGTGACTGTACCCAATGTTTCTTCCAGGCATCTATTCGGCCCCTACCCCCCGAAGGAATTCTACCGCCTCCCCCCCCCCCCCCCACCGAAGGAAATGGAATTTATATTGAAAATATATACTTTTATCAGTGTCCACCCCCCCCCCCCCCCCCGGGAAAATTTAGTTCGTTCACTCCCTCAAAGATATCAAGTGCCCCCCCCCTCCCCGGAGAAATTGTTCTGGAAGCAACACTGACTGTTCCCGGCACCAGATACCCTAGTTACGCCACTGAGCTAATGACTTACATCTCTCCCCCCACCCAGGTAACGGCACCTTCACACAGTACGTCCAGGTAACCTCAGACCAGCCCTGTTTGGTCTTCGTCACGATGACCCAGAAAATGGACGGATTCACGTCACTTCCGGTGACGTCATGGGGCTCCCGTTATGCGGTGGTCACTCACTGTGAGCGGGCACGTGGCCTGTGTCAGATCGTGGTTGTTGCGAATCAGCAGGCTAAGGTGAGTTCATTAGCTAACTGGCACGCTAATGCTAAGGTGAGAACATTAGGTGACACGCTAATGCTAAGGTGAGATAATTAGGTGACACGCTAATGCTAAGGTGAGATAATTAGGTGACACGCTAATGATAAGGTGAGGTCATTAGCTGACACGCTAATGCTAAGGTGAGATCATTAGATGACACGCTAATGCGAAGGTGAGATCATTAGCTGACACGCTAATACTAAGGTAAGGTCATTAGCAGATTATACAATGTATACAATACATATTTGGCTAAAAAGTCTTAAGCACGTTTGTATAACACGAAGATGATAAAGTGGCTGGTAAAATCTGTTAAGATGGTTGAACATCGCCATCTTCTTTTCTTATTGGAAATATTTACTTAAAATAACCACACACAAAAATACTTGGTTTATGAACAAACAAATACAGTATTTGGTTTAGTTTGGGCTATTATTTATTCTAAATGTCATAGATATTGAATCTATTGTCTTTTGTAACTTCATTTCGTGGCGGTGTTTCCATAATACGAATTCGTTTTTCCCACGTTAAATCTCAAGCTAAGTGAAAATACTCTGTTATGTTGGGGGTTTCTTTCAGCATCAACACATTGTGCCTACTAAGAAATGTGTTGTTTTTTAACATAAGAAAGTTGTTGTAGTAAAGGAAAGTCCCAGTTTTAAAAATATATTTAGATTTTTTTAAAGATTCATTTCTTCAGTTACTATACTAATATCAAAGTTCCTTAGGTGTATTTAAACGCATTTTTACACGTATTACTTTGATCAGAAAATGTTTGATGACGATTTTTTTTAAATAAAAAAAAAACCCAGACAAACCCAAATCGTTAAAGAGCTGTATGAATTTAAGACTTGAGTCAACAGAAACTCTGAAACTATTGTAGGCGAACTGTCGAGAAATCACGTTCTTTCGTACTCCAGAACTCGATAGGAAATCAATGGGGCTCAAAGAGGGAGAAATAAAGTAGAAATTGTTTGGGCGGTGTTGGTTTAGAACAGAGTAAAGGAGAACATAAGTTTCAGGAAATTAGAACCGGTTGTGAGAGATCATATGTGTCGGTGCTACCGGTGTGTGAGAGATTATCTGTGTCTCTGCTACCGGTGTGTGAGAGATTATCTGTGTCGGTGCTACCGGTGTGTGAGAGATTATCTGTGTCTCTGCTACCGGTGTGTGAGAGATTATCTGTGTCGGTGCTACATGTGTGTGAGAGATTATCTGTGTATCTGCTACCGGTGTGTGAGAGATTATCTGTGTCGGTGCTACATGTGTGTGGGAGATTATCTGTGTCTCTGCTACTGTTTTGTGAGAGATTATCTGTGTTGTGGCTACATATGTGTGAGAGATTATCTGTGTCTGTGCTACCGGTGTGCGAGAGATTATCTGTGTCGGGGCGTAGACTGACACAGTAACTGTAACTCTAACCTTTTATTTTAGTCTGTGTAATTTTTTATGCTTTAAAAAATAAAGCAGCGACTTATTTTACAAACTAGATCATAGTTTCAAAGACAGACAGCTTTCGATGAACATCAATGCTATTATAGGCTCTTGTTTATGTTACAATATTCTCCTTTGTGATTCATAAGAAAGATGCATTACGTCAAAATAGTTTCAAACGACGTGAAGACAATAGTCTCCGTAACAAATTTGAAAAGACCACACACAAATTTTTTTTAAATATTGTTATGTGAAAAAAGAAATATCAATAATTCTTTGTTAATAGCGTTTATTGATTTAATTTTTTTAAAATTTTAATTGATTTTAATTTTTTAATTAATGATATCTAGAGTAATCTGATATGTTTGAAAGTGATGAAAGGGGCGTACATGTATGACGTCACACACAGTAATGGGGTTCAGGTTTATGTTACGATTTGCTACTTTATTGTATGTGGGAGTGGGGGGGGGGGGGGGGGGGTCACCAAACTGTGTCGTAGCAGAAATGTGTATATTGTAAGGACAAAATAATTTTTAAACAGGGTAAAATCTATAAACGACCCCTAAATTACACCTTTTGGATGCACTTCTTCCGGATGAAAATTTTCTACAACAGTGTATGACGTCATTGTAAATTGTTGTCCAGTAGTTGAGTGCAAGATGTCCAGTCTTGAGTCTGCTGGTAACCGAGAGAATCGGTGCCACATCCCCAGGCCCAGTCTCATTCTAGATCTTTCTCTCTCTCACTCCATTTCTCTAGCGTAACAAAATACAATGTGTGTGTGGGGGGGGGGGGGGGGGGGGGGGTCACACTATTTTAAAAGAACGACACCCAAAGCAATGTTTGGTAATTTTACTGAGAAAATAACATTTTAGATGACTTTGTTGGTTTTAACAAGTCATATTAATTTTAAAATATCTCTTGGTTTTTTGTGAGCTGTATTAGAGAAGAAGCTCCGCCTACGGTATCTCACAGTACTGATTGGACGGTATTAGACTAGAAGCCCCCGCCTATCCAGAGTTTATTCCAGGCATCTCTTCTACCGCCCCCCCCCCCCCCCCCCAAAGAAGGTCTACCGCCCCCCCCCCCCCCGAACGAAATGGAAATTTATATAGAAAATATATACTTTCAACAGTGTGCGTCCCCCCCCCCCCCCAGAAATTTTAGTCCGCCCACCCCCCCCCCACCCCCCTCCCCCGAAAATTTCAAGTGCCCCCCCCCCCGACTAGAAACCCCGCCTATGGTGTCTCACGGTACTGTTTGTGTGGGCGGTATTAGACTAGAAGCCCCGCCTATGGTGTCTCACGCTGTTGCCTGTCCTCTAGGTGGTCATCCAGCTGCCTGCCCAGGACAAGACCTCGGTCAGCTGGACCAACACGCTCAACCCAGCTGCGAAAGAGGATTTGACCTTGACCCTCAACGCTTACGAAATCTACCAGCTGCAGAGAGGCTACGACCTGACAGGTAGGGGACGACCGCCCCCCCCCCCCCACATATAGTGATACCTTCATGACAGGTATGGGACGACCCCACCCCCCCAAATATAGTGATACCTTCATGACAGATATGGGACGACCGCCCCCCCCCCCACATATAGTGATACCTTCATGACAGGTATGGGACGAACACCCCCCCCCACATATAGTGATACCTTCATGACAGGTATGGGACGACCGCCCCCCCCCCCCCCCACATATAGTGATACCTTCATGACAGGTATGGGACGAACACCCCCCCCCCCCACATATAGTGATACCTTCATGACAGGTATGGGACGAACACCCCCCCCCCCCCCCCACATATAGTGATACCTTCATGACAGGTATGGGACGAACACCCCCCCCCACATATAGTGATACCTTCATGACAGGTATGGGACGACCGCCCCCCCCCCCCACATATAGTGATACCTTCATGACAGGTATGGGACGACCGCCCCCCCCCCCCCCCCACATATAGTGATACCTTCCTGACAGGTATGGGACGAACAACCCTCCCACGACATATGACGTCACGTCAAACTAACATCACGACCAACTGCTTATGACCTCATGCCCAACTTGTTACGACGTCATATCCAGCTGTTTATGACGTCATGTCACACCTCCCCAGGTGCCACCATTACCTCCGACGTCCCCATCGGTGTCCTGAGCGGCTCTGCCAGATCCACAGTCGGCCCACGGCACGCTGGAGGGGGCGTTCATGGAGCAACTTCCGCCCACTCAAGTGCTCGGTACTGATCACGTGGTCTACGCGACCCCTGGGGGGTCAGTTGGGGAGGAGCTGGTCAAGGTGCTGGCGCTGGTTCAGACGGTGGTCCACATCAGCGGACAGTTCCAGAGATTTATGTTAGGACGCTTTCATTTTATAACCCAGGTGAGTTTAAAGGTGTTTTTATAACCAGGTGAGTTGTATGTAAAGGTGTTTTATAACCAGGTGAGTTTAAAGGTGTTTTATAACCAGGTGAGTTTAAAGATGTTTTATAACCAGGTGAGTTTAAATGTGTTTTATAACCAGGTGAGTTGTATGTAAGGGTGTTTTATAACCAGGTGAGTTGTATGTAAAGGTTGTTTATAACCAGGTGAGTTTTAAAGGTGTTTTATAACCAGAAGAGTTGTATGTAAAGGTGTTTTATAACCAGGTGAGTTTAAAGATCTTTTATAACCAGGTGAGTTTAAAGGTGTTTTATAACCAGAAGAGTTACATGTAAAGGTGTTTTATAACAGGTGAGTTGTATGTAAAGGTGTTTTATAACCAGGTGAGTTTCAAGGTGTTTTATAACCAGAAGAGTTGTAGTAAAGGTGTTTTTATAACCAGAAGATTTGTATGTAAAGGTGTTTTATAACCAGGTGAGTTGTATGTAAAGGTGTTTTTATAATTGCTTTACATATAATTAGGTGGGTTAGTTAATTGTTCATTCATTTTTGTGTTATAATTTGGTCATCCCACCTCCCTAACTCGCACACTTTTCTTTACATAGTCTGTTTATGACATGTTACAAGTAATTAGGCCCCTCACAATCATGGCTTTTCTCTTTGAATGAACTATGAAAAAGGATAAATTAACTGAAAAAAATGCCTTACTAGTCTGTAGAATTTCAACATTATTTTTTAATAGCATTTGGTTTTAATTGTAAAAATTGAAGAAAAAAAACTAGCTTTCCATTAGAAATTTACAAAACATATACAAATGTGAAAAAATGAATTACCCTTCAATATAAAACATGACAGTGTTTACTCAAGAAAAGTAATTGAGTCATCAGCAATTTGTACATTGTAAAAACAAATAAATTTTTAAAAGATTTTTTAAAAATTAATCAATCAATGTTTTGTTTCAATTAATTTAATTCACTTTATCTCTTAAACTATACTCTATTAAATAAGTAAATAAAACTAGTAGCCTCCGTCACAATAAAAGTTCAATTATAATGTTTCAATTCACAAATGTGTTCACTAAATACTTTGTCTTGAAATATTTCCTCTGAGATATTTTTTCATACACACACACACATACACACAAAAACACACACACACACACACACACACACACACACAATATATATATATATATATATATATATATATATATATATATTATATATATATATATATATATATATATATATATATATGGACACCCATTAGACATAACACATACTCCATCCGACGCCTCTGTGTCCTATAATTTCAGTTTTAAAGAGTACCGCACATAATTTTAAATTTTCTATCATGCAGAAACTTCAGTAAGTCCCAGCCATCCATATCCAGTCTAACAGACCGATACTGGTGGTCAAGTTAACTGGAGCAGCTGCCCAGTCCTCTTATTCTACGATGACCGTTATATCCCCCACGGTCATGTTCCTGAAAGGAGTTAACCAGGTTGTGCCTTCTTTAATCTGGCCGCAGGTATGTAGTCTGTTTTAAATGTCTGTTGTTTTGTGTGCTGTCTGCTTTAAATGTTTGTTGTTTTGTGTGCTGTCTGTTTTAAATGTCTGTTCTTTGTGTTGTACCAAATGCCTGTGGTCTGATTTAAACCACATACCTTATGTTAGAATTTTATTAGACGTCTCTGCTATACCAGTGTAAAGATATTCTTCTAGATTACCTCAAGCTAAAGTTCAATTGTGTACTTTTTGATATATATATATATATATATATAATATATATATATATATATATATATATATATATATACAGTGGTTTCTTCCAGATTTTTTTCCCGGGAGGGGGGGCACTTGAAACTTTCGGGGGGGGGGGGGGGGGGGGGGGGGCGGTAGCTATCTTTCTTCGGGGGGGGGGGGGGGGCGGACACTGTTAAAAGTATATATATTCTATACATTTCACCAATTATCCAACTTGTCATCTTACTACGGTTTCCAACTCTACTGAATTATTCAGCGTCACCTCTGGCTTCTAAAAGTCGATTTTATTCCTGATACGAGTGACATGCACCGTACTCGTTCGGTGGTGGGGCTCTAATGGGAATGGGGTACATGGGCCTCAACGGTGGTGGGAGTGGGGTTAACAGCCACCCTCCCCCTCCCCTGGGGACTAACGTATCAACAGGTCTGGGTCTATTTGCGTCTTTTCAACTGATGGTCCTTGTAGGAGGGCATCGATTAACCGATACTGATTAAATGGATTGCACCGATATAATTAAAGAGCTGTTAGCTTCTATGGAGCTTCATCGATGAGACCCCCTACAAGAGATACCCCACATAAAAAACATAAACGTATTGCTGGTTTTATTTTTCCTTTAGTTTGCGTCAAATTTGGGCACACAAATCTCGTTCTCTATATCTGGGAGAGTTTGTTTTTTTCTCAGCGAAGAAATAAGACTTGATTTTTTGTTACTATCAACAACCACCCAACCCATCCTTCCCCCTACACCCTCCCCCCCCCCCACTCGGTATTGCCCCGTCCGTGAAAATCAATGTATCCGACCCAACCGTGGAAGTTCACCTGAATACCCCAGGGCGGAGAGAAATAGAACCCGCTGAGCCAGGACGACGAACCCCCAATGGCGTATTGATTCCGGAGAGGATTAGGTATTCAAATGAAAGACGAGCATTTAAGAACGAAGCTTTAAACCCAGGCGGTATCCACCGTCGACATTAAATGTACCATTGTTTATAATCCCTGATAATGTATGGTAATTTATGCATAATTGAACAGGTCTCTGACGTCACCAACGGTTCTCAGTTCGTGGTGGCCATCGGCACCAACGAGTCGCTGCCGTGTATGAATACCACGGTTTTAGGATTTATCGGTGATTTCCCTTTTAAAGGTAAGTTAGGGTCCCCTGGTTTAAAACCAAAAATGTCGGTCTTGACACTGCATGAATAAAAAGAATGTAAACTAATACAGTTGCTATAAAGGCTAGCAGTAAAGAAAATGTACTCAGAAATGAATGAAAATACAAGTACGCAAAAAAAAAAAGCGTTCTAACAGGGCTTGTAAGCAGTGTTTCTTCCAGACTTTTTTCTCCGGGGGGGGGGGGGGCACTTGAAATTTGCGGGTGGGGGACACTGTTAAAAGTATATATTTTCTATATAAATTATATAAATTTCATTTCGTTCGGGAGGGGGGGGGGCGGTAGAATTTTTTCGGGCCCGAATAGATGCCTGGAAGAAACTCTGCTTGTAAGTCTCGGTCTCTCTCGATTAAAATTCGTTAGCCAGGGAAAAATATATTTTCGAACTAAAATTAATTGTTTTGAACTTTAATCCCATTGATAACAAACAAGCAAGGCAGCTATTTGTTTCTAGGCCGAGCTTCAAGATTTTGAAATACCAAAAGTACCCAAAATGCAACAAGTATAATTTTTTTTACTAATAATAGAATCAATGAAGTACCGGTAGGCCTAGGATATTAATAATATATATGATAAATATGATATATGTTTTTAAGTTACCCTACATCTTTTAGTCGACCGTTATCATTGTTTACGATTATAAATATCTTAACAATAGCAGAAGTAACGTTTCTACTAATTTATTTTTACAGATTTCATAAAAATATTCACACACGGTTTAAAAATACTACCTGGCAAATACGAGAACGAGACTTAGTGACCTACTTAAAAACCCTATATCAGCGAGAAAACGAATGCTCAGTGAATGCAAATTAGCACTCATGGCAAATAAATTCTAGCAATTCGATCATCATTATTTTTTTAATGTTTTAAAACTATCAACGAAAATACAATTTTATATAATTTTTTTTTTTGTAAACAAATGTGCATTAATACTCAGTCAATTCGCTAAAAAAATATACTAACACTGAATCTAGTCTTAGAATAGTCTTGAAAAGTATAATTTATCATACTAAATTTTAAAAAAAAATCTTTTAAAATATGCAAGCGATAAAATTATAGTTACATTTTAAAAACTTAAAGCTGTTTGGGAAACATCGATTGCACTCATTTTTTTTTCACTATAAGCCGTTGAAAAAGCCGTTTAGATTATTTTATCAATTTAAATATTTTTATTAACTGCCCTCAACCTCTCCTTGAAGTCAACCGGAATGGCCAGGGAGAGTAAAACAATAAAAGTCAAAACAATTGTTTTCCTTCATAAAATACACAGTACTAGGATGTATAGCCTGGTATTGTATTTATATTAAATAATATAACATCCCTAATCACCACAACACCCTTACTCTAATCCAAATTAAAAATAAGTGTTTGCTAAACTACTATTATATTACTAATATTTATTTGTTTGACTATATGTTGCCTTAATAAAACCGGAAGTGATTTTGTACTTATTACACAATAAATATTCAATATTGGTTGAACAAAATGCTTTCTGGCAACAAAAATTTGGAACCATTTGGAACCAGCTTTTCATGCCTATTGTAAACGTAAGCACCGATTGAAGCTGATCATATTTGGATATTTGATTACTGCCATAGCTTTGTTAAGCAGATGTAACTAATCTGTGCATGAGTTGTTAACAATAAATCTTTCAAGTTGTCCACGTTTGAGTAAACAAAAAATCAGTATGGATCAATAACATGTTAAAAAAACGACGTTGAAAATTAATCCGTCCAAAAAGTGTGTTGTGTTACATTGTAATCTGAATGTTCTAAAATGATTAATTTTTTATTATTGTAATCTGAATGTATTTACTTTACCCCGTCCCCCTCCGCTCTTTTCAATCGTATAATAACAAAGACTAAATGAAACAAAGTCTACACTATATTTTAACGGTTATTTCGCCAACGGATGTAAGGATTTAAAAAACATACTCCGTGTCTGGCAATTCTAATGGCATTTCAGCTAGCGCGAACGTACGTGAAAACACGTTATGCCCCAACAATAGAATTAATCCCACATGATCATACTCTAAGCTGGCTGGTATTAGAGTATGTTTGTAAACAGCACTGGCTTAAAATTAATTTGTATTTAACTAAACTAGAGAATGTGGAGGAGGTTTCAGGTTGTTGTTTTTAGCTGGAGGATTCATTATTTCCATTAGAGCCTAAATTCTCACACCAGGGGCCAGATGTTTGGTTAAGTAACATTTGAGGTGCGGCCCTTGCTGACACCACATGACACCCTGTTGACACCACATGACACCATCTTTTGCTCCAGGTACAGACTTGCTCGTGCACACCTATGCCGTGCCTGCGGGTGGGATACTGATCGCCTCCTGTCTAAACACGGCCTATGGCTTCTACATGGCTTTTGTCAACTCAAATTTCTCAATACAAATTCCTCTGGCATTTAGTCTTTATCCAATCAATCAGGTAACAATATTAATTATATGTTTACACATATATACATACACACACACACACACACACACACACACATATATATATATATATATATATATATATATATATATATATATATATATATATATATATATATATATATATATATATATATATTATATAATTTATTTAATTATTTATTTGTATATTGCGTGCATGCGTGCGTGCGTGTGTGTGTGTGTGTGCGTGTGTGTGTGAGAGAGAGAGAGTGTGTGTGTGTTTTCAGATGTAGATAAGATTGAGGAGTCGCCGACAAAAGATTGATATCACTTTGGTGATTCTTACGTAGAATAACGTCTCAAAAATCCCCCCCCCCACACACACACACACACGCATATACACATTAATGTTGAGGAAGTACGTGTTTTTGTAACTCAAGTTTCAGACATGAAAATTACAGTTCATTATCCACAGCTCTGAGTTTTTATCGTAAAAACATAATTTATTGTTCCAATAATTTTGTGACTATTTTTACTTTCTCGTATATACGAAGTATAGAGAAAGTCTTGTAATCGTGCAAAAAAAAAAAAATCGAGATTTTTGCAAATCTCGACGTTTTACACCTCACTGATAAGGAAAAACATAATTTTGCAATCTTGTCCGTATGTCTGTGTGTCTGTCTATGTGTCTGTCTGTGTGTCTGTCTGTGTGTATGTGGGTGTGTAAACATGATAACTTGAGTACCGTTACAGCTAGGTTGATGAAATTTCAAATATAAGTATTTTATCAAAATCGTAGATCCGTATCAACTTTTGAGCGATTTCCGATAACCGGAAGTGGTACTTTTTCTACTTTGAATTTTTCAAAAGCCTATTACTTGAGTACTATTTCAGATAGATAAATGAAATTTCACATGAAAGTAAAAGATCTAATTCTCTACCTTCTGTCAAATTTTGAGTAATTTCCGTTTACCGAAAGTACTAATTTACGCTATTTTTGATTTTTCAAAAAAAAAAACTAATGTAAATTTATAAAGTACTAATAATATTGCGCACTCTTATGCACATTTCATTTGGCGTTCACCTGGTGTGCAATTCTTTTTTCTACGAGATTTTATTCTATTTTAAAAACTTTAAGTATTTAAAATGGAGTTCCCATCCCCTGTTGTTTTATATAAGAATATTCAAGAAAGTTTAGGGGAGATCACTCCCGGTTTATTTATTTTTATTGCTTTAAAAAAATATTATTGTTGTTACAATATGATTACATTGATCTAAGTCTTGACCACGTTGTTATTGACTAGCCATGCAATGCTACGGTCAACAGTCCCGGGGATGGAGTGGACAACGACTGTGATGGTCTGATAGACGAAGACATCTGCACCGAGACCACCATCTCAAGTAAGTCTAAGTCTAGATCTGGTAGGAGAAATGGTTGGAACTGGAGGTTCTTTGGTGTTGTAGTTGTGTTTTAGCTAGTGGGTTAGGATTAGATCAATGTGTATATACTAATAGGTTAAGATTATATTATTGTTGTTTTTATTAAATGGTTAGGATTAGATAAGTATGTGTATATGCTAGTGAGTTAGGATTAGATCAGTGTGTTTTTTTGAGTTGGTTTTTATTAGACCAGAAAGTGTTTTTTACTAGTGGGTTAGGATTACATCACAGTGTGTTTATGCCAGTGGGTTAGTATTAGGTGGCCTTTATTTCGGTTTCATAACACGTTACGGTTTCTTCTCCTCCTCCCCCCCCCCCACTCCCCTTTACTTATGAGTACCTGCCTTTCTCAAAAAACAGCATACTAACTGTAATGCAGGCTACAAAGACTCCTCCAGTACAACAGTCACAGAAACAGATGAGCTCTTTCATTCGGTGTTAAACTTGTAACTTACAACCTACCACTAAACCTAAACCTTATGGTAATGGTAATGTTACGGTGAGGGGTAACATAGGTTTAAGAAATTCAATTGATGGAATAAGAAACATTTTTTATTTAGTACTCTGTCGGACCATTTCAGGTAGTTTATTAAGTGGTATGAGGTACATGATGTAGATACAATAAGAGAAGTTACTCTTTAGATCTAGTGATCCATTGGATGAAGATGAAGTAGAGTACATATTTCTTGACCTCGGCATATGAAGGGATGGTGTAGTCAGCACTATACCCAGCCGCTTCTACTTTCCCGTCACAAAATGTTATATTCTGTAAAACAAAACTTTTGACGCTTGTTTTTCCCAGATTTCAAAGACTGTGCCGCTATCATATCAGGTAAGTGTAGTTTAAATTGTCTGAAGATTTTTAAAAAAAACAACATTTTTCATCTTTTGTGGTTTTATTTTGAGATCTTTAGCTCAAATGTTTGTCATGTGTAGACTTAAATAGACTATTTCCAAAATAATATAGATTAGACCATCATACATCTGCAATTAGACCAATAAAAGTCTTTGAGACTAAAGTAAATTAAGTTTTGTACCAGACTGAGTGTCCAATCAATTATACCTGTACTGTCACTAATTACACCTGTAATGTTACCATTCACACTTGTAATGTCACCATTCACACCTGTAATGTTACTATTCACACTTGTAATGTCACCACTCACACCTGTACTGTTTCCATACACACCTGTACTGTCACCATTCACACGTGTACTGTCACTAATCACACCTGTATGGTCACCACTCACACCTGTAATGTCACCATTCACACCTGTAATGTCACCACTCACACATGTACTGTTACTAATCACACCTGTAATGTCACCATTCACCCGTGTATTGTCACTAATTACACCTGTAATGTCACCATTTACACCTGTAATGTCACCACTCACCCGTGTACTGTCACTAATCACACCTGTAATGTCACCATTTACACCTGTAATGTCACCACTCACCCGTGTACTGTCACTAATCACACCTGTAATGTCACCATTTACACCTGTAATGTCACCACTCACCCGTGTACTGTCACTAATCACACCTGTAATGTCACCATTTACACCTGTAATATCACCACTCACACCTTTAATATCACCACTCACACATGTAATAACACCACTCACCTTGAACACCAGGTGACAGAGACACCTATGGCAAGAATTTCACCTTTCTGGTACCTGAACACCACGAGACGCCCATCAGGGTGGAGAACTCCACCATCAGCCTGCAGATCACCAGTCCTTCACAAGCAGATGTCACCATCTCCATCACGACACCTTTAAGTAAGTCACCTTCAATGCCACCATTTTATCGCAACACCGGTACGTCAGTCTGTCTTATGAATGTCGAAGAAAACTAGCAGGGTACTTTCAGACAATGTTATCTGCAGGGGCTCTTGAAACTTTCGGGAGACGCACTTAAAATTTCCGGGGCGGGGGGGGGGCGTGGTCATTGGTTTAAGTATGTACCCTCTATATTTAAAAAAAAAAAAACTCGTCTTGGGAGGTTGGGGGTGATGGGCGTGATTTCGGGAAGGGCGGGGGAGGGACAGTGCCCCTAGAACAGATGCCAAAATAAAAATATCTGGAACATTTGTAAAATTTTAATTTCAAATAATCGTGCACTATTCGTGGGATTTTTTTATTTGCGTTTCGGCTGATAGTATCTAAGTTGAGTGACTGCTCCACACAATAAAACCCACATCTCGTGGGGGGATGAACAGTTGCACTGCCAGATGATCCACCAGATGACCCACCAAATAACCCATCAGATGACCCACCAGATAACCCACCAGAAGACCTACCAGATGACCCACCAGATGACCCACCAGATGACCTACCAGATGACCCACCAGATGACCCACCAGATAACCCACCAGATGACCCACCAGATGACCCACCAAATAACCCACAAGATGACCCACCAGATGACCCACCAGATGACCCACCAAATGACCCACCAAATGACCCACCAGATGACCTACCAAATAACCCACCAGTTGACCCACGTCCTACATAAGGTATTTTAACTTTTTCTTAAATTTTTTTATCTCGATGATATTTTTGCTTTCACCAGACCTGACCAAACTCAGCATGACCTTGACCCTGCCGGCCTCTGAAGACTTCCTGCAGATCTTCATCCAAGACTTGTCTGTCCGAGCGGTCGGTTCGGCGTTGTTCACAGACAGGACTGTTCACGTGACATCCGACCACGAGGTAAATAAACGGACACGCAGTGTGAGGGTGGTTTTTTTTTTAGCTCACTAAAAGGGCCTTTTTGGTTTAACGCATAACACACATATTCAAATATACAGGATAAAATATAGACACAATGCTTAAAATTATGTAAAACAAAATTTTATAGTGCTTGATCAAACCACCATAATATATTGACTAAAGATGATCACCTAACCTAGATGGGGTCTTGTTTCTAGAAAGTTTGAGAAAGATTCTAACCTAGATTGGGTCTTGTTTCTAGAAAGTTTGAGAAAGATACTCAGCTAGATGGGGTCTTATTTCTAGAAAGTTTGAGGAAGATTATAACCTAGATGGGGTCTTGTTTCTAGAAAGATTGAAGAAGATTATAACCTAGATGGGGTCTTGTTTCTAGAAAGATTGAAGAAGATTATAACCTAGATGGGGTCTTGTTTCTAGAAAGATTGAAGAAGATTATAACCTAGATGGGGTCTTGTTTCTAGAAAGATTGAAGAAGATTATAACCTAGATGGGGTCTTATTTCTAGAAAGTTTGAGGAAGATTATAACCTAGATTGGGTCTTGTTTCTAGAAAGATTGAAGAAGATTATAACCTAGATTGGGTCTTGTTTCTAGAAAGATTGAAGAAGATTATAACCTAGATGGGGTCTTGTTTCTAGAAAGTTTGAGGAAGATTCTAACCTAGATTGGGTCTTGTTTCTAGAAAGTTTGAGAAAGATTCTAACCTAGATGGGGTCTTGTTTCTAGAAAGATTGAAGAAGATTATAACCTAGATTGGGTCTTGTTTCTAGAAAGTTTTAAGAAGATTCTAAGCTAGATGGGGTCTTGTCTCTAGAAAGTTTGAGAAAGCATTGTAATAGTGCAAAATATCTTACTGTGTAGAGAAGCTTAGTTTTGCAATTATGTCTGTATTCTGCGTGTCTGTTTGAAAACGCGGTAACGTGAATACCGATGCATTTATGTTGACGAAATTTCACATGCAGATTTTATATCGACTTTGTAGCTCTGTATCAACCTTTGAACGATTTACGGTAACTGGAACTGGTGCTCACTCTACTTCCGGTTTCTTAAAAGCCAATAGGTTAAGTACTGTTTAAGTTCGGTAGACGAAATTTCATATATATAAGTATTAAATTGTATGCACATGTTTGTATAAAAAAAATTAATAATTTCCGGTATTTGGAAGTGGCACTTATTTTTATTTTCTTGTAAAGATTAAAACTTGAGTACTGTTTCAGACAAAATTTCATCTATAAGTATAAGATCCTGTACTTAGATTACTTTCATTTTTAGTAACCTCTGATAAACGGAAGTGGTACTTTATTTCTTGTTTCTAAAATCCGTATACTGTAAAGTAGGGAGGTGTAAAACGATGAAAACTGTCCAATTTTTGTTTAATTTTTGTGCTCGATTCCAACACTTCCTCTACATTCTGTATACGAGAAGTAAAAATACGTAAAATGTTGAAAAAGATACAAATACTATTTTCTTGGTTAAATTTGTATGTAGACCATTTATAACGACTACATTTAACTTTCGAATTATCTTGGATATGGTGTTTTATATATTAATAAAATTAACAAAGAAAAATTACAAACTTACTTTTAAAATCTGCAGTATAGGAACATCCCAGTAAAATATTGTAAACCATGATGTACAAACACCAGCCGAACATTGTTACTCGTTTTGATTTTGTCAACAGCAACTTTTAATTAACTGATCAGCACGGTTTACTTAATTAAATTAATCAACAACACGTTTTACTCTCTATTTTATAGGGTTGTTGCTTCCGGCTTTGTTTAATATTAACTAATGATAGATCATGGTAGTCAAGAAAATATGTTTAATTATATTCTCGAATTACCGCTGAAATGGCGCAGTCTCTATAACGTATGTTTTAATAAAGGTTTTTTTTTTAGAGCCTACAAATGGGCCCTTGCAGTTTTCTCGACAATTGAAAAATATCTACCTATCTGTCTGTCTGTCTGTCTGTCTGTCTGTCTGTCTGTCTGTCTGTCTGTCTGTCTGTCTGTCTGTCTGTCTGTCTGTCTGTCTGTCTATCCGTCCGTCCGTCCGTCCGTCGGTCGGTCGGTCGGTCGGTCGGTCGGTCGGTCGGTCGGTCGGTCGGTCGGTCGGTCGGTCGGTCGGTCGGTCGGTCGGTGATCTCTCCTTAATCTCTCTGGTATATTGTTATATAACAGTTTAGGTTGGGATGGCATTTTCAGTGGAATCGGGCTTTAGAAATTTAGACGTTTGTAACAAAACTGCTCGGTTTTCAAGAAAACAAAGGCTATCGAGCCTAATCTGGCCGGAGATCCGAACACAGGACTTCAGGGACAAGCGATCACACGCTCTCTCGCCCGATCTCGCCTGTCCCAGAAATGGAACTATTTTTTGTCAAAGCTAGGCGGCCTGCGAGTCAAAAGCATGCCAAACACAAGTATGCCGGTCTACAATGTTCTTAATCGCCGTGTAATCGACACCTTACCCCTCGGCTCAGCATACAACAAATAACTTGTTCTCTGTGCATGTACCGGTAACTAAAAGACCTTGTCTAATGTGGGGATTGGACCTTAATGTTAGGGCCAATGTGCCAATGTTAGATGGCGAGACATGCGCAGTGGTTGTTTAAACAGGATGTGACTCAATGTAATCCCCATCGGCACCCACGCGTTGAGTTGAACGATCGATTACGTTATCTTATGACCAGGTTGATTTCTATCCAATCGCTGATCTCCCTACTTCCTATATAGTATTTGTGAAGGGGGGGGGGATGCGTGAAGGTGCTAGAACCTTGGTTGTGTCACACGTTGTGCACAGTGTTTCTTCCAGACTTTTTTCTCTGGGGATGCACTTGATATTTGGGGGGGGGTCTACATTTTCCGGGGGGGGGGGGGGGGCGGACACTAGTAAAAGTATATGTTTATAAATTCCATCTCGTTCGGGAGGGGGGGGGGGGGGGCGGTAGACTTTCTTCGGGGGAGCTCCCCCCCCCCTACCCCAAAAGAGATGCCTGGAAGAAACTTTGATTGGCAAACAATGTCAATATCAATATAATGGCCTGTTTTTTGGAAAGTGATTTTAGGCCCTTAGTTGTATTAACTACTTAACTAGTTAAATTTAGAGAAAGTCATGTCAAGATTAACTTGAGGAGGGGGGGGGGTGACGATGTAGACGGGGGAAGGGGTTCAGAAAGTGACGTCACAATTTCACGTTTTAAAATACAGCTTTTGAAATTTTTTATTTTTTATATTTTAAAGATGTATCTGTGAATCGTAAAACAACGGAGTCCACATAATTTAATATAATAATAATGACTAGGCCTCGTTAGTATTCTTCTTAGAAATCGCATATACAAAACAAATTTCAGTATGAGGAGGGGTTGGGGAAGGTTTAAGTGTTAAATAAATTATTTGACGGAGCTGACGACAAATGACAATAAGGAAGTGTTTCTTTCATGCATCTCACGGAGAGGGGCACGGTCCCGACAATTGGACCTTGACACCGTGGGAGAGTCGGTTGGTAATGGTGGACCTTTGGCGTTGTTTAGTGTGCTGATTGGGTGAGGTCGACGGCTAATGGTGGACCTTTGGTGTTGTTTAGGGTGGTGATTGGGTGAGATATACTGCTAATGGTGGACCTTTGGCGTTTTTAGGGTGGTGATTGGGTGAGACTGACGGCTTCAATCAGGGTGGAGTTGTCTCATGACTTTTGTCAGTTTTTTTCATGCTTGTCAATTTCTGGATTTTTGTTCCATGTAATTTCTTTTGATTCTGGTCATTGTCTTGATTCTAGTAATTTTTTTTTAATTCATGTATTTATCTCGATTCTTGCCATTTTTTTTTTTAAAATTCTGGTGATTTTTTAAATTGTTGTTTATTATCTTATTCTTGATTATTGTTAGATTCATGTATCCTGACATTTGCTTGATTTAGTCTTGTTTTAAATGTCACGTTAACCCCCTAACCTTTGAATGACCATCCGGATTGGCTAACGCATGACCTACTTGTGATTTTACAAGTCTCGACACTTGTTGGGCGATCGTTTTCAAAACGCAACCTACTAGCTTTTCGTGACAATGTCACTGTTTGTATTGATTTTCATGTCACAGATATCACTGACGCTGATGGGCAATGGGTCCTCATTCGCCATGTCGCTCCTGATTCAGCCTGACGATGTATTGGGGCACGAGTACTATGTGGTTACACCGTGTAATCTCACAGGCTGTTTGTTTCAGGTACGTCATCTCAAGTAGGTTGTCTTAGGTAGGTCATCTCAGGTAGGCCACCTCATGTCGGTCATCGCAGGTAAGTGGTCTCAGGTAGGTCATCTCATGTAGGTCACTTCTGGTAGGTCACCTCTGGTAAGTGGTCTAAGGTAGGTCATCTCAGGTAGGTTACCTCAGGTAAGTGGTCTCAGGTAGGTCATCTCAGGTAGGTACCTCAGGTATGTGGTCTAAGGTAGGTCATCTCATGTAGGTCACTTCTGGTAGGTCACCTCTGGTAAGTGGTCTAAGGTAGGTCATCTCAGGTAGGCCACATTATGTAGGTCACTTCAGATAGGTTATCTCAGGTAGGTCACCTCAGATAAGTGGTCTCAGGTAGGTTATCAGGTAAGTTACCTCATGTAGGTCATCTCTGGTCTAATATAGGTCACCTCAGGTAGGTCACCGCAGGTAGGTTATCTCAGGTAGGTCATCTCAGGTAGATCATCTCAGGTAGGTCATCTCAGGTAAACCACCACATTTATTTATATACAAACTCTGAAGACCTCGAGCTGTGACCCTAAAGTGAGCTCATCTCTGCCCGTCCATAGGTCACCGCCGTCCACGCCGGTGAGACAGAGGTCAGGATACGACTTCGAACCGACACCGACGCTCCGGTCCTGTTTGACGGCACGAACTACAAAAACGGTAGTGTCATCTGCCGCACGCTTCAACAGTTTCACGCCCTGCAGATTAATACAACATTCGATCTTTCAGGTTTGTCGATTGTTTTCATTTTTAATTTAATTATAATTTAATTATTTTAAAAAAATCGTTTTCGGTTTTATATTAAATTCGACAAAAAAATTTGAAAGATTCTGAATAAGACTAGTAAAATGATTATTTGGTTTCGATAAATATGTTAACACTTACGTGATAACTTTTAAACTTGAACTTTGATTTTACTTTTAAGAGCTTTTTTTCTTTCTTTAATGTATATATATATATATATATATATATATATATATATATATATATATATATATATATATATATATATATATATATATATATATAAAGTATACAATGACTCAACTAACTTCTAGGTACTCACGTCTTGTCAAGCAAGCCTGTGTCTGTGTGGGGTGGTGGATTTTTTACAACTTTTCTAAGGAAGTCATACAAGGACTCGGCAGCTGAACACATACCACCCCTGGAGACGTGGGGTCGGGAATTTCTTGTACTGCAGAATCCAACGGTATGTGAAACGTTATTTCATCTATTGTTTGTGTAATTATCGGCTTTCTTCTGCTTGGGAAATTAATCGTGGTATATAAGACGTTAGAGTTGCTTAAAAATATATTTAAAAACAAATTGTTATTCGCCAAGCAAAAATCAATATTTTTTGCCGATCAAACTTTTGCTGAAAGATAATTACTTTCTCGTAGACGAAGTATAGAGAAAGTATTGTAATAGTGCAAATAAATTTTTTTTAATCAAGATTTTCTCAGATCTCAACGTTTTACACCTCACTGAGTCAGAAAAACATAGTTTTGCAATTTTGTCCTCATGTCTTTGTGTGAGTGTGTGTGTGTGTGTATGTCTGTGAACTCTATAACTTGAGTACCTTTACAGCTAGGTTGATGAAATTTCATATATAAGTATTATATCAAATTTGTAGTTATACACACACATATATATATATATATATATATATATATATATATATATATATATATATATATATATATATATATATATATATATATATATATATATATATATATATATATATGTATATATATATATATATATATATATATATATATATATTCATATAAATATATATATATATTCAGCGATTTCCGGTAACCGGAAGTGGAACATTTCTACTTTCAATTTTTCAAAAGCCTATAACTTGAGTACTATTTCAGATAGATAACCGAAATTTCACCTGTAAATAAAATATTTAATGTTCTGCATTCTGTCCAATTTTGAGTAATTTCCGTTGACCGGAAGTAGTAATTTACGCTATTTCCGATTTCTCAAAATACGCATGTGAATTTATAAAGTACTAATAATATGCCGCACTATTATACACATATTGTTTGGCGTTCACTTGGTACAAGATTCTTTTAATAAACCGGGAGTGATCTCCTCTAAACTTTCTTGAATATTCTTATATAACACTACGGGAGTTGGCACATCTCGATATAGACATGATTTTTAAATCCATTTTTAATTACTTAAACTTTTTAAAATAGAATAAATCTCGCCAAGTAATCGACTCGTGACTGTTGTGATGGTACGTCGTGGGAATACATCCTGAATATTTTGATTCCTCATACTAGCTATGTCGAGCGAAACAAAGTAGTTTAGAAAATTTGGTTTCACATCCAAAGACCAGTGTTAAATCATTTCGAATTTGATGGTCACTGTTTATCGCTTAAACTTTAACTAATCGTCACAACGTGTTTATGTTATCGTTAAAAACTTCGGTTTTTGACTCTCGTTGAAAATTTTGATTTCTGTTGATAATCAAAAACGTAAATTAAAATTTGCAGTAAAAAAAACATTTTATAAAAGATTATAAAATGTCTCTCTTCTATTCAGAGAAACACATTGATTATTTAAGTCCGTCGTCAAAATATTTAATTTTAGTTATTTAGAAAAAAACATTATTTACGATTATTGTCTAAAGATTTTAATTTCAGTTTATTGTTTAAAAACATTGCTTTCGAGTAATAATTAAAACCTTTGATCAGTTTATCACTAAAACCTTTCATTTTTGCTTATCAATAAAACCTTTGATTTATGATTATCAATTAAGCTTGAATCAGTTTATCACCAAACCCTCTGATTCCAGTTTATCACAAAGGGTTTGACGGCGTGTTATCTACCCCCCTGCTACGATTACATCAAAACTGATGGCCGGGCACTGACAACACTGACGTCACACTGGTCAGCAGCTCCAACACCACCAGATATTCGCTGACCGCCGCTGGGGACTACGTGCTGCACAAAGTGAGAAGTGGGATGTTGGTTCTAGCTACACGTTTATGTTTGTCACCGTCAGACACACCCACCCCCACCCCAGACCACCAGACACCCCCCCCCTAGACTATCAAACACCTCTTATAAAAATTATTTCTTTTCCCCGCCCCCCCCCCCCTAGACTATCAAACACTCTTATAAAAATTATTTCTGCGCCCTCCCCCCCCCCCCCGCCCAAGACTATTAAACACCTTTTATAAAAATTATTTCTTCTCTTCCCCCCCCCCCGACCATAAAACACCTCTTATAAACATTTTTGCTCCCAAACCCCCGATTATCAAACACCTCTTATAAAAAATTATTTCTGGCCCCCCCCCCCAAACACCTCTTAATAAAAATTATTTCTGCCCCCCCCCCAAACACCTCTTATAAAAACTATTTCTGCCCCCCCCCCTCCCCCAAACACTCATATAAAAAACTATTTTGCCCCCCACCAAACACCTCTTATAAAAATTATTTCTGCCCCCCCTAAACACCTCATATAAAAACTATTTCTGCCCCCCCCCCAACACCTCTTATAAAAACTATTTCTGCTTCCCCCAAACACCTCTTATAAAAACTATTTCTGCCCCCCCCCCCCCCCAAAACACCTCTTATAAAAATTATTTCTGCCCACCCCCCAACA